GATATTCCAATCCAAATTTATCATTCAGGATCTATAAAGTTAACTCTCTGCCACTTTACTGTTGGGGTTCACACAAACAAGCTGTTTTACAAATGTAACATTAGAGTTATTGAGCAGAAGATTATAAACACTATAAGTTCCTGTATGAATATTACAGTAACCTCTCCCTTCCTCCGTGCTGCAGCCCGACTACAAGCTGCCGTCGCAGGTCTGTAACCATGACGGCAGAGGAGACGATCAACATCAAGGAGGCCGAGGTGATCAAGCTGATGCTGGACTTCCTGAACTCCAGGAAGCTGCACATCAGCATGCTGGCCCTGGAGAAGGAGAGCGGCGTCATTAACGGACTCTACTCTGACGACATGCTCTTCCTCAGGTATGACAGTATGACACACGGGAGCAGATCAGATTTCAGATCCCTCTAAACTGTCAACTTTCAACAGGCAACTGATTCTGGATGGCCAGTGGGAGGAGGTGATGCAGTTCATTCAACCTCTAGAAGGAATGGACAAGTTTGAAAAGAAAAGGTGAGTAAAGTAATATAAATTGTATATTGTGTTTATAGACATGTATATATTTTAACTAGACATCTGTAATTTCTGTCCCTAGCTGTTACTGGTAGGTTTGGATAGTTTGTTTTGAATTCAAAGTTGAGCCAGTATGCTATTTCAGCTAAAACTTTCAGAATCATGCAGCTGAAAATACAGTTTTTGAATATATTATAAACGTTTCCTTTGTTGGCGACTGGGTAAGCGTTGACAGTACAGTGGGAGACTAGTGGTGAATTAGGTCAAGTCTCAGTGATGTACTGGGGGGATTATACCGTATATGTGACAGCCTCAGTTTGTCACTGATCACCAAACAGTGTCCCAAAAGTCATCCCACCCAGATGTCTTATACCTCAAGAAAAAACAAGTTCATTTCTTAACACTGAGATTTCTGTTTCCAGGTTCCGCTATATCATTCTGAAGCAGAAGTTTCTGGAAGCTCTGTGTGTAAATAACGCCATGTCAGCTGTTGAAGAACCTCAAAATGTATGTATGCGTGTTACTTGAAAACGAATGTGCACGCTGGGGTTTTGAAACAACCCGTACTAAGGCACAAGCTGAGAAACCAAATAAGCTGAAAATGGCCTTTTATTTAGCAGCCTGATTTCTCTCTATTCCAGTGGAGCTGCTCAGAAGAAGAAGTGTAGATACAGATCGTATAGCACGTACTGCATCTCACTGTGTCACCTTCAGAAATCTACTTTATAAATGAAACGCTTCAGAGGCCCAATGCATTCCTTGCACACTCTCAGTATTTCAGTACCCTAAATGAGACGATGCAGCCTTTTACACATCAGCTGTTCCGCCTCATTGTTTTACATCAACAAGCCACTGGGATCTACAAGAACAGGATTTAAAGAAAACATTATCACAGCCCCATACTGTCACACCCTCTGTGTTCTTATTCCACCGTCTGCAGCTGGAGCTCACCATGCAGGAGGCCGTCAAGTGCCTCCACAGTCTGGAGGAGTACTGCCCGTCCAAGGACGACTACAGCAAGCTGTGTCTCCTCCTCACCCTGCCCCGCCTCACCCACCACGCCGAGTTCCGAGACTGGAACCCGAGCACGGCACGCGTCCACTGCTTCGAGGAGGCCTGCGTCATGGTTGCCGAGTTCATCCCTGCGGACAGGAAGCTGAGCGAGGCCGGCTTCAGGGCGAGCGGAAACCGCCTCTTCCAGCTGCTCATTAAAGGGATCCTGTACGAGTGTTGTGTGGAGTTCTGTCAGGTAATGTGACCCCTGAAAGTGGAGAGTGTTACCAGCAAACTCCACTGGATGTTGATGTAGCAGTAAAAGGGTTAATGACAAAACACAAACTACAGTCAGGTTTTACTGCCAAAATCAAATTTCCTGTCAGGTCTCATTTAAAGGTTTACAGGACAAGCAGGTGTCAACACAAAATCTCAACAGTTCCAGCTTCTGGTAAATGATCTTAACAAGGCTGTCCCTGTTCACTAGAGTAAAGCAACTGGTGAGGAAATCACAGAGGGTGAGGTGTTGCTCGGCGTGGATCTGCTCTGTGGTAACGGCTGCGATGAGCTGGATTTGTCGCTGCTATCCTGGCTCCAGAATGTCTCTCCGGGCGACTTCTCGTGCGCCTTCCAGCAGAAGACCCTCAACATCCACGTGGACCGGCTGATGAAGCCCAGCAAGACGGGCCACGCCGACCTCCTGACTCCGCTGATCAACCGCCTGTCTCCCTGCCCCGCCTCGCCCTTCCACCAGAGGCCCCATTCGGCCGACACCTACATGTCCAGATCGCTCAACCCGGCCCTGGACGGCCTGTCCCACGGTTTGGCGGCACAGGACAAGAGGGGCATGGAGGCCAACGTGAAGTCTGCTCTGAGCCGGAGCCTCATGGAGAATAATGTGCATCAGCAGGATGATTCTCCTGAGAGGTGAGTCTTTGCATGTGCATCTGCAACCTCACACATCAAACCTGGTGGTAGATCTTGTTGTATAGTTCAATCTGCAGCTCCATTAATCCAATGAGCTCTTCTTTAACACAGACATATTGCCTCGTCTGTCATCTCCCACAGTGGATGCTACAAAGCATGCAAGGCTGCAGCTGCAGTGTAATCTAAAGCTCTCACGTAATGACTTGATTTAAAATCTCTGTTTTCTAAAAATTTGAATCTTCCTGTTCTTGTTAGTGCTAAGGTGGGTTGGTGCAGAAATCCTGGAACAAGCTCAGCATCTGGAACAAAATATTAACACAGAGGATAGAAGCTTTTCTTCAAATGTAAATGTATTATGTTCTCCACTGCTGCACACCCTGTGCTCTCTCCTTCTTATCAGTTTCGCAGCCACAGAATATAAATTCCCGACTATATCTTTATCAAGTTTTTTTTTGTTTTGTTCTATTACCTCCAAACAGGGCGGCACCAGTATTGTAAAAAGTTAATAGAGCATCAAATGAAGTAACTCCCGTAAACTGAGCAGTTCATCAGACTCTCTCTGGCTCCACCTGCAGGATGGAACTACTACATACAACAAATTGTAAATGATAGTGATACATTTAAGTTCAAGGCTTAACAGGATCTTAACAGGACTTTGATTTATAGTTTGCATTGCCATTTTTTACATAAAAGCAATGAATGAAACTAATTTCAATATCAAAACTTTAATGAGCTTCTGTGGCTCTGACATTTAACGTTATCTTTGTTGTTTGCTGCCACAAAATTACTGCTCTTTCCTTCCTTTTGCTACATGGAGTATAATTCTTGAGTTTTACATTCATGAACTTTTCTGCATTGTGTTTTCCTACATTCTCTCTACTCAAATTAACGATTGTGAATTGTCATAGGAAACAACCACAGAGGCCGGACGGTCCCAACACCACACGTACGCCTCTGACTCCTGGGAAAGATGGCGAGCCGCCCTGCAGCACGGAAACAAATGAGGTGATAAAAACTGCAGACAATCAGCCATTGTGTTTGTTACCTGCACCAAGGGAGGAGGAGGAGGTGGTGTTTTTATTTGTTTTTGAGAGAATTAGGCAAAATGAAATCAACGGATTTCCATGTAATTTTGTGGAGGGGTGGGACATGACCCAAGGGTGAACCCATTACATCTTGTTGTTGATTGAGGATTTTTTTTTAACTTTCTTTAATATTGCGAGATGCAATGTCTTTCATCATTTTTGTTGATTTCCCAAAGACTAATTAATTGATCTTCATTAAAAAATCCAGCAGGTTTAGGGGCTTGATATTTATGTGTGTGAAATCTGGATTTTGTGGATTTAAATGAGGTTTCGTCAGGACTGTTGGGCCTTGGTGGAGGTATGTACTCGTCTGAGTGTCATTCTAGTTGCATTTGTTACTTACATTATAAACATTACGGAACCTTAACCACCTTTGGTTGCTCAGGCTGAACTGCTTTCATGACTTGTGTTGTCATGTCTGGTCACTTGAGTCAAAGTCACAGAGAGATTTTCAGTCTGTCGTCATTAATTCAGATTTAAGAGATTTGGAAAAGTTACCCCCTGAACTCATGAACTGCCTCCAAACCTCCACACCTCATAAATCCTCCCCCCGAATCTCGACCACACGTGTGCTCCCGCTGACCCTGTCCTGGTGGGGGTGGAGGTCATGGACGCTGAAGGGAGATAATCTGATTTGATGTGCGGGCACTGACTCTATCATCGCTCATCTTTATGCATCCCGGGTCCCATCTAGTGGAGGAAAGTAGTCAGAGAGAATATACTGTAGACCCTTTGGATGTGATGAGGTCCTTGAAAACTTTTTATGGGATGGATGATGGAGGACGAGGCCCTGGGAGTTGAAGAGCTGTCAGCGGTGGCTCTTTGGAGAGAGTTAGTCTATTATAATCTTGTGTGTGTGTGTGCGGTGGCATTGAACACTGCCAAGCTTTGAATCAGATAATACTGAGGAGCAATAATAAATATTCATTCAGGCTACAGGGGCAGTTAAGGTCAAATAAATCCTGTCAGAATTGGGCTCTGCAAACTATAGTCTTGTCGTGTTGGCTCATTGAGTGCCTGTGTGTGTGTTTCCAGGGCTGTGACTCTGAGGAGCACATACAGGAGTTTTACAGGCACCACCTCCGTGTACAGCAACATCTGGAGCAGAAGCAGCAGCAGAGGAAGCTATACCAGCAGATGCTGCTGGAGGGGGGTGTGAAGCCGCAGGACCGAGCCCAGCACAACCTCACTGAGACCTTCCTGAGCAGGTGAGCAAGTCACACTAAAAGATTCAGCCTAATCAGTTTGGTGAATATAAACTTCACTGTCGTCTCATCTCCAGATCCATCCAAAAGTTGGAGGAGATGAACGCGGGTATTGACTACAAAGGAGATGAAGTGATGACACATCTAGGCCAGCAGTGGAACGGACTGACGGGAAACAACGGAGCCTCCAGTCCCAGGACCGCCAACACCCGGCACACGCCCGACACAGGGCTGCCGAGGGACACACCCGGAGCTGTAAGCAGCAGCACCCCGTTAAGGACCGGGAGCCACGGCTTGCCTTCCCTCAGCGAGTCGCCAGTTCCTACCAGTCAGAGGTCAGAGCCTGTCTAATGTGTGGTTATCAGCCATTACCTATAATATTTGCTCCTTCATATTTTAAATGTTTCCTCACTGAATACTGTAGACAACACTGGTTTATAGCGCATTACTCTTGAACTTGCAGAGCCCCATTCTGACAGTTGCATCTGCGACTGTCAAAGTGACAAAGTAACATGGAGCAAGAAAAGACAGTGGGAGTAAATGATGAAACATTCTCCTTGTGTTGTAGAAGAAGATGTTGTTTAACTAATAATCTGTTTTTCACATTATGTGGATGAACGTGTCATGAACGGCAGCGCTGAGAGGATCAGAGCGCCTTGTTCCACTTTGCAAGAAGAATCAGGAGGTTCTGCAACACGTAACACTCAAGAGGTAGATTCCATTTTTTTTTACTTAATAGTAATAATGTTTCTTTAGCTCAGTGTAGTGAATCTATCTATACATATTGTAATGTATAAATTGGTTAAAAAAATGTAATCTAAGATGTGTTTACTAAAAAACTTCAGTTCCGGTCATGACAGATAATAATATTCCTCTTATTTTCTGTTTTTCTTGGACAGGGGGGGAAATCCAAAACACAGTTTGTGAAAGTGAACCAGCTAGAGGACACACAGGCAGTACGTGCAGTGGCCTTCCACCCCTCGGGGGCGCTCTACGCTGTTGGCTCCAACTCAAAAACCCTGCGAGTCTGTGCCTACCCAGACACCCTTTCCACCAGGTAGGAGCCACACACACGTTTCTACGCCACACACAGGCACGTTCCTACAGCCAAGCTCATTCATGCACTCGGACGAGGACCACATATAAAGACACATTAAGTAAACTCATACTCAGTCAACAAAACATGATGTTGCATTGAGGTCACCTGCACAGTCGTGAGTCGGTCCCTTGTGTTTTCTTGTCTCTTAGTCCTGGTGCAGTAAAGCAGCCGGTTGTGCGATTCAGGAGGAACAAACACCACAAAGGCTCCATCTACTGTGTCGCTTGGAGCCACTGTGGACAACTGCTGGCCACCGGCTCCAACGATAAATACGTCAAAGTCCTGCCTTTCAATGCCGACAGCTGCAATGCCACAGGTAACGATAATTGAAATGTAGCCCTTAAAAACATCATCTGAATATTTCAACCTCTCATCTGTCTGTGTCTGTGTCTCTTACGTTCAGGCCCGGACCTGGAGTTCAGCATGCACGACGGCACCATCAGGGACCTGGCCTTCATGGAGGGCCCAGAGAGCGGAGGATCCATTCTGATGAGTGCCGGAGCTGGAGACTGTAACATCTACACCACCGACTGTCAGAGAGGACAAGGCCTTCATGCTCTGAGTGGACACACAGGTATGTTAAAGAAACAGTTCTGCGGGAGCTGTGTGTGTGTGTACAGCTGTAAACCAATACATAAACATTATTTTTGAATTCTTAGAAACTGTCAATTAGTGACATTACAATAATACATCAACAGGGCTTATAAAAACACAATCTGATGTGATGTATTTAAGACTTCTCCGTGTTGTTGAACAGGTCACATTCTGACTCTGTACACGTGGGGAGGGTGGATGATCGCCTCCGGCTCCCAGGACAAGACGGTGCGTTTCTGGGACCTGCGGGTGCCCAGCTGTGTCCGGGTGGTGGGAACAACGCTGCACGGCTCAGGTGGGTCATGATTCATCCCCTGCAGGTCACATGTACCACACTGCGACAGGCTGCTGGTAAATTACACTTCACCTTCAACGTTACAATTCACAAAGTCTAATCCTTACAAAGATGAATAAACATTTTTTCAAATTAGGCGTAGTTAAAACAGCAGTTATTGCCTCTAAATTTAAAAAGCAAAATTGAAAATAAACATTCAGAGAGCATAGACATTCACCAAAGATTTGCAATCCTATATTTTTTGGTCTTTTTTTCTGTTATTTACCGCTCTGTCTCACTCAGGCAGCGCGGTCGCTTCAGTGGCGGTGGATCCGAGCGGCCGCCTGCTCGCCACTGGTCAAGAGGACAGCACCTGCATGCTGTATGACATCAGAGGAGGCCGCATAGTGCAGACGTATCGACCCCACGGCAGCGACATCCGCTCAGTGCGCTTCTCCCCTGGAGCCCACCATCTTCTGACAGGTTCCTATGACAACAAAATCATCATCAGTGACCTGCAAGGTAGGAACACATACTGTACACAATGTTTCGAGAATTTGTACAAAATATAAATGCATTTAATCAAAATGGTGCCAACATGTTTTTCTCTTCCCTGACCTCAGGGGACCTCACAAAGCCCCTCCCTCAGACAGTGGCAGGGGAACACTGGGACAAGGTGATCCAGTGTCGGTGGCACCCCAACGATCGAACCTTCGTCTCCTCCTCCGCAGATCGAACTGTCATCCTCTGGGCTCCAGGCCCCTGAGGGCGTGACAGAGACACACTGGTTAACAGCAGCAGGAGGCACAACGTTCAGCCCAGTGTGGGATTACCTCCTGTTGCACGGTGTGTGTGTGTGTATGTTTGTGTGTTTGTGCACGTACATATGCAAACACATTGTGAGCATCAATCCGTATATATGTTGCACAGTTTAAAGGTGTGTGTATGTGTGTATATACATTGCGTGACTGAAATATTTTTAAGGTGGAAAATCCAGTCACTTAAAAAATTACTGTGCGTGCGTGTGTGTTTTTGTTACGTGTGTGTATGTATACATTGTGTGACTGAAACATTCAGTCCCTATTAAAAAGTGTGTGTGTGCCATTCTGCAGATACAGTGTAAAGTACTGTTGCAGTTTTAGTGTAATTAAAGTTCAAGTAAAGAAGAAGCTAAGTAAAGGAGCTAATGATGTTTTTTGTGGGTCCATGTGAGTTATAATGCTTAAAATATTCTGTGTGTGTGTGTGTGCATGTGTGTGTGCGTGTGTGCACATGTTTCTTTGTGTTTCAGAGCATATAGATGAAATGGCACTGTTGTAGTTAGATAAGAGAGGTGACTGATGATGCCTGAGTTGAAAGGCATGAATTAGTTCACTGTGAGCACACTTTCAAGTTAGTTTAGTTGTTTCCTCTAAATGTTCAACTTCTTATGAATCAGCCATACTCAGATCTTGACGCTCACTTCGGAAGTGACGCAGATTGTGAAGCAGTGACCTGGACTCATGTCGTGGAAGGAAGCCACGTTTGGTTATGCATATCATAATGTGCCTTTTTGTAACATTTGTAGACTGATAGATTTATTTATTTATTTGCAGCTTTATCCTACTTGCTCATATGCCTTTTCATGTACAGAATATGTGTGTACATGTGTATAGATTCCAGTTTTTTCACCTTCATCTGTTGTTGTTGACAAATTGAAAGTGAATTAGCACTTTGCACAAATGCTGGAAGTACAGTTTGTTCAGGTTTGGAATAACAGCGGTGAACAAAATACATTTTAAATGTGTATCAGCCAAATAAATAATTTCAAACTAAATAAATCAATTGCAACGCAAGAATACAAAGTCAGTGTTGGGAATTGAATCAGGCTGCACCAAATGTCACACACTCATAGATATCAGTTCCCAAAATATGCCTGATTAGTTTTTTCATCAAGATTCATGACTTACACGAAAATGTTAATAAAAACCTCACAAAGTTAAAGAAAGTGAAAAGATTTCAACATTAAATTCTTCTCTCACCCGTTCCACATCCTTCCAACAAGTGTCATGGAAATCCACCCAATAATTTTAGTGTAATCTTTCTCACGAACAAACAAACCAAGCAACAAACAGACAGAGGTGAAAATGAAAGGATGTTGTGAGACTGATGTGAAGACATGATGCACTTTACTGCTTCACTGCACAGAGTGAAGTAACAAATCCAGGCACATTTTATTTACTTTTAAAAGTAAGATTTTATTTTTATTCTCACTTTTGAGAGACTCAACACATACGCAGAAACCTCATGCATGTGAGAGAGAAGAAGGCACAGCGGGGAATCCAAGTCATAATGCATCATACTTTACATGATCTGTGGCTCAATGGCAAATTCAGCGTCCTCGTCCAACTGTGTAGTTTTCAAACAAAGTTTGTTAAAGGGTTCACTGGGCGTCATACTGTTAAACAAAAGAGTGGCTGTCTAATGCTACATGTTCTTGCTTTTGAAAGAAAATAAAGTATTTTTAAGTTACACTTCAGAGACATCGCACTGTTCTTTAATGTGTCCAGTTGCATTTTTGCCAAATATTAAAAAGAGGAAAATGTAAATGTGTTTTATATGTGTATCTACCCTATCACACACACAACTCTGCATGCACACACGTGAATTACAGACATATAATATGCAGAGTGAACAAATGCTTATTTTCTGCTTTAGGTGATCACCTGTTCCCTTTCCCAACCCCTGTGCTGTGTTCTCCTGACGTAGCTCAACTGTGAGGGGTCATAATGATGAATTTACTGCAGGTGTCAAATATTTGAAAGAAAATATGGAAAAAACAACGGAAGGAAAAGAGAAGTTGTCATGCAAGAGACAAAGAGATAGACTGAGAGCAAAAGTTTTGACTCGATGGCAGTTGGGATGGATGTGCGTTGGGTTTCGTGGACTGAGGTGTGTGCATGAGAGGGATTTACCATCGCTTACATGCTGCGCTCGATCATTCCCTCTTTTGTGAAGTGGACAATGAGAGCCAGGGGTTCAGGGCTTAAAAAGGATACGCACACAGTTACAGCCAGCGACCCTGGAGAGACACCGGCCAACCCAGAGGTACCAGGACATAAAAAAAAACAACTTGGAAATACACAGGACCTGTATTTACTGCACTGCCAGGAAGATACTACTTTCATATTTGGGAGACAACAAGAAGAGATGAAGTGTGGATCTGTCTGTGCTGCTTTTACACTGGAAATGATCTGTGCAGCTACAGGCCTGAGATCCAGTTGTTCATATTTCTCGACCAAAAAAATTTAGCGGACACATTCAGGGTGCAGATGTATCGGCGTAATTTGGATGTGCTTTTAGAACTCGGTGGTTTTGTAGCCTCCACAGTGAGGGAGTTGAAATCAGTGAGCGAAATCCGAGGTGTGCTGGCTGGGTGACAGTGTGACAGTGCTGACAGTTCAGTTGTTCAGTGCTGGATTAGTTTTACGGTGCATGCAGCGGAATTAGTGGAGAACAATGGCCCTGAACTGCCAGATAGGCAAAGCTCATTGTCACCGTCGTGCAGCAGTTTGGTTCAAGTGCTTTGCTGGCTATGAGCAATTTAACAGCGTTTGGAAGAATGACTCTGACTTTTGTGCCCTTTGTGCGGAAAATGCTTCGCTAGGGTCATGATGTAAAAAATTCTAAAACAAAAAGAAGTCTTGGACGACATTCAGTAATATAAAATATCTGAAAGAGTCAGTGTCTTTTCCAAACCATCCGTGAGCTCCTTCATACTAAAAGATTTCCTCACATCAGTGGAGCTGTCGAAAGTATTTTCCACCGGAGACGCTTGGCTGCTTCAGGCCTGTAGCACATGCAACAGGTTTAATATTGCAACTTCTGGCAGGACAGGACGTACTGCGATCTGAAATAAGTGTCCGACCTGCAGTCAAACAGTTTAAGTTTGAGTGCTAAATATTAAACGCAGTGATAGTGTGGATGTACAGTAGCCACTTATTCATAATGTGTGATGCTATAAGTGTGTATTGTAATGTATTTGCTTTGATGTTTTGTTGTCATTTAAATGAAACAATGCATGTATTGAGATGAAAGACAAAATTGGGAAGAGTATTCTGATAATTAAGTGTAATCTCATTTTATCTCATCTCTCTTATTTGATCATATCTCCTCTTGTCTGAAGGTGGCAGTGTTCTGTGAAGTTCTTCACTTGAACAGACATGATACACTTTGTAAACCAACAACAGTTAATTAGCTTAACGAACAAAATCCAAGACTTTTGTGAGTTTATATTTGACGATGACATATTCTGACATCGTCTCCTCTCGTCCCCGAGCAGTTGCTGAATGTTTAGGAGGACACTGTTTCCCCCGGCTCTTCCACTATGCTGTACACTTTAGCAGGAGGGGGCACGCTCTGCGGCGTGGCCGCCCTCGTGCTTCTCATCGTCTCCACTGCGACCGACTTCTGGATGCAGTATCGATACTCGGGGAGCTCAGCCAATCAGGGGCTTTGGAGGTTCTGCATCAACCACAAATGTCATGCCCACACCATAACTGTAGGTGAGTACTCCAGAACAAGGGAAGGATCTGAGGTGTCATTATTCCGGTAATATTTTAAAATCAGTTATTCAAAATTCAACGTCTGGCTATTATCCTTCTAATTCTAATGAATTGTAACCATGGCAACACATTTACAATTTGTCAGTAAATCCTGCAGAGCACATGACTGAATGATTGTTATCTAAAACTTTATTATCTAAACCTATCTGAAAATGTACTGAAAAACGAAAAGAAAAGAAAGATAAACTTAAATATCTCAATAAATGTATTAAAATGTTTGTGCTCATAGAGTGAGAATTAAGTAGGTTCACACAAACAAAATTACAAACAAACATAAACATACCAGCATGAGCACATAAACCAACATACTGTGTGTGTGTGTGTGTGTGTGTTTCTCACCTCTGTCTGTTTGCAGCTTTCTGGGATGCCACCCGGGCCTTCATGTTGCTGGCGGTGCTGAGCTGCTTCGCTGGGGTCGTGCTCGGCCTCAGCGCCTTCACCAACGGCACCAAGAACAGGAGGGTCCGCACAGGAGGCATCGCCCTCGTCCTGTCAGGTAACAACGTTCACAACGTCACGGTGACCTGGTGGTTAGAGACATTTATCAGAAAATATATAAAATATAATTTATATTTGCAAGTGATCTTTTTCTCTACATAATCCTATGTACTTTATACATTCTATTCACTAGTTTAACTTATTCACCCATTTGCATTTGACTTTTCTACATCAGAGGTTGAATTGGAGTCAGTACAAATCCAGTGATAAGGTTGTGAATCAGATTTTGGCGCCATCTGTTGATAGAAAATAAGGTTGCAAACCTTTAAAGTGCAGTATGTTATATATTGAGTTGAGAAGTTAACTAATTATATAATCAAATATGTAAGACTGCAGGAGGTACTCAGGATAAGTGCAGTTTCATGGTTTGTTTTCATGTTACTCAGGCTTCCTGGCTCTGCTGGCTTTGGCGATCTACACCGGAGTGACGGTCACTTTCTTTGGCAAACGCTTCTTGGACTGGCGCTTCTCCTGGTCCTACATCATCGGCTGGGTGGCCATCATCCTGGCTTTCGCAGCAGGTATTTACTGTATTTAGTTTTTTAACTTCAATCAGGAGTAAGGTTATGTGTATTAACCTTAAAAGACTGAAACTCAAGTAAAAAGTAACACAACTTTATGAAAATGCATCCCTCTACTGTGCTTTCCTTTTCTTGACAGCACTCATATGTAATAGTAGAGGACTTTACTCAAACAATGCATGTGTCATTTAAGAATTAAACTTTATTACTCATATTCAGGGATTCATAAATATGATGTATAATTTTATATTAATCATTTTATTATATTTTTCCTTTAGGTGTGTTTCAGCTGTGTGCTTACCAGAGAACCTCTGCAGACCCTGCTCCTTCAAATAACCCCGACACCTGAAGAAGACAAAACACACAGATTAGCCCCAAGGATGTTTCCATGGAAGCTGCAGCTGCTGTTGAAGTCATATAAACAAAGATGGAATAAACTGAAATCATAGATTCATGAGTGGTTTCATTTCTTATCTCAACCACAGCATTTAAAAAACACTTTTTACTTACTTTGGTTATCGACAACCAGCTGTTTTCACCTTATGTTACCCTTATGTGCGTGCCTTAGAGATGCAGATGACCAGACACCAAAACCCTAAAATATAATTGAATAACCCCACAATGATTTTAATTTGGGAACAATAATATTAAACAATAACATCGATAAGAAAAAGGGGTTAAATCATACTGAATGAGAAAACGCCTGAAGCATCATTATAACATTACTTGGATGATGAGAGCTCTCGGTCGCACCTTCCACATTTTTCACTGTGCACCTTCCCCACTAGATGGTGGTGTTCAGTCACATAAAGGAGGTATATACACACCGAGCTGTCACATGAGGGAAGAGAAGAGTCACCTCTTCTCTTCAGCTCAGAAAACAAAAACCTTTTCGAATAAGAGGCAAAACATTACAAGGATTGATTGATTAATTTAATAGAGGCGATAACGCAATAAAATACCCAAAGCCTGATAAACAGCCAGCTCCATCCATCGATTTAAATAAACATTAAAAAATCGAAAGTTTGGTCAAACTGTAGACTGTTTTTTTTTAAACTTGAAAGAAAATGGTAAAATTTTTCCCTTATGTCAAAACTTAGGTTTTCTTATCGGCCCTTAATTCACTAAATGCATTAGTGAGGCATTATTAGTCACTACTTCCTCAAAACAGAAATAAAACGGACTTTTTTAACTTCTCTCACGTTCATTTGTGTCACTCTTAACTTTCGTTGGTCAACGTTTGTAGGAACAGAAGGTCAAACACAGTTTATTATTTACTCTGCAACATTTGATTTATTTTCAACAATAACAAAGTCATCTCACAGAGATTACTTCGAATTACACAGAATGCAAATAAATAGATATAGGACCATAGTAGAATTAAGGACACAAACAACCGATACAAAATTATTTACAACACTTTGAATAGTGCAAAACTACACAAAAACTGCCCTCAATGAAATTCTTGCATTGAGCCCATGAGAACAGTGGATGTGTGCTGCCCCCTGGTGGGCAAGTATAAGAACTGACAGTACTGAATATGGCATGTTGACAAAACCATAGCAAATTATGAGACTCTTGTGAAACAAGGTGTAGCAAAAGTACACCGACCTGCTACCCCTGGTCAAGAAGAGTGATGTGAAATCATTGAGATGTGGTGAAGATTTGCATTTTTTAAGTCAGTTGAAAAGGGGGAAAAGAAAATGCATTCAAAGCCCAGTACACTTATCAATTAGTAAAGTCAAATCTCAATTAAATAAAGTGTCTTTTCTTAAAGAGACATTTGAAAAACCACCACAGCCACTACAGAGTGTGAGCCACATCATGAGCACTGCACATAGAAATGGCAAAGGGAGAGATGACAACCTAAAACCACATGGCAGGTAGCGCCCACCACCCCTGAGTGAAAACTATTTAAAAAAAGGTCTTAGCACCGTCAGATACCACAGAACGCCAGCGTTGCCATTTCTTCCTATTCCACAAACGCCATCATGGATAGCGACAGGCACAACACATTTTTTTATTTAAAGTGCGCTCGCTCACTTGAGCCGTTCGTTTCACTCACGGTTGTTTGTTTTTTTTTTTCCTTCTTCTTACACAATTTAATCCCCAAATACATCAAGCTCCATTTAAAAACAGCACACAATTAAATTACACTTTGCCATGCATAATCATTTGTTGCATATTGAAATTTCTTTTCAGGACCACTCGTCTTTTTGCTGATGAAAACTTGGACCTTGCAGCAAGTGTGGTTGTAAATCCTCCTATCAGTCAAGTGTCGATATTGAAGACACATGCACGAACATCAGAAATAAATTATAGGTGCTACTTTAAATAATCTGAAAATTCTAAAAACGCCACTCGGTCCTCAAGAGGCCTGTCAAAAAGAGGTTCGTACTTGAACACAACATGGTTTCCGAGTCATGGCAGACAGTACGTGAACAGACATCTTAACGTCTACTCTGTATAAGACCAAAGTCATAGAAAAGTCGTACACAAAACATATGGTTGCATCTGAGACTACCTCCTCGTGGCCTGTTGTACTAAATATTTGTGCATTGATGATGCATTCGTCCAGAAGAGACTGGAGAAAAGAATTACCTCTCAGCATTGATCACTAAATACATTTAAATCATGCCAACGATGAGGAAAGTAATACTGCAATCATTGCTGATTGGTGAAAGAGAGAAAGAGGAAGACCATCAGGAGAGAATCAAGCCTCTGCAGGCTGATCTGAATTAGAAATTTCAGTTTTCATCATTTCAACCCACAGCTGATTAAGAGCCATTCGAAGAGAAGTACCCAATCCAAACAGAGAGACAGGTTTGTTACACTGATGATAGATGGAATGGTGAATAAGATAATTAGAAACAGAAAGTCAAGTCATCTCTGTGCACTCATGCAATAGATGTGCACTGTGTGCATCTTTGGCTACGCATAGCACTATGGCTCCTCTGTCGAGGTGCAAAACTAAGCACTACAACAGGCTGATGCTGACTGGTATAGCCCTGTTCAGACTGCATGCTCAAGGTGAAGAGAACATATGAAGGACAATGAGTAACACAAGTTCACAGATGTGAGACAGTTTGTCAGGAAAGTGCCCCCTCAAACTTGGCTAGTGTGGCACCTTGCTAAAGTAAAACCATTCTGCTTTGGTTTGAATGACAGACACGCTGCAGCCAGGCAGTGTGTGTATGCGTTTTGGCTCGGTGTGACTCAAGTCGTGGCATGTCCTTTTGTGTTTACTGCAGCAGGAGGAAGTATAGCCCTTCAAGTTGACAAGTCGTCTTTGAAATTGCACAGGTCGGCCACTCTTCCTCGAGCCGACAGGGTAGGCCATGTTGGAAGCATGGTCCAAGTACATTGGAGTTCTCCCGCTGGGTTCTGCTGGGAAGAGGCCAAAAATATCCTCCAGTCATAAGTCAATCAATCTCTCCTTCAGTCGCTGAGTGTTATGTGTCTTGGCGGGACCTATAGGAGGAGCAGAGAGAAACAGTTGAGTGTTGAAATAAATCCATGTCTAACAAAGCGAAGGTAGATTAGTTACGTGGCAACGAGGCTACACCTTTTACAGGAATTCATTAGCCCCGTTTCCTTGAAGGACAACACAGCCAAACATGCAACAGAGCAAACAGCAGAATTAAAGAAATTTTGATATGAATTGGATTTGGTCAGGATCTTTCCGTGCGGAGTTTGCATTATCTTCCTGTGTCTGAGTGGGTTTTCTGTTTTTACTCAGACTTCCTCCCACACTCCAAAAACATGGGGTTTGTTGGAAACTCTAAAATGACTGCAGGTATGATTGTGAGCTTCAATGTTTGTTTTCTCTCGACACAGTCAGCCCTGTGACGCACTGGTGACGTGACCAGTGTGTAGTCCTGCTCTCGCCTGATGACATAAGCTGTATAGATAATGGATGAGTGGCTGAAATTGATAAATACATTCTGCAGATATATTTTACATATACAACAGTAATGTATGCAATTTTGTAGCGTTCCCATTAAAGCAAAACCTGTTTACCTCCAAACAACGTGTAGCATTTATATGCATGTTGTTTCCTGTTGTTTGGAACCAAAAGCAAAATAGAAGTGTCACTGAAACATCCTGTTCTTCAAGCCACTTAGATTCACATGTCACGGTGACGGACTGCCTGAGATGAAAAGCACTACCCGTAAGTCTGAATACATTCTTGAGATGAACGGCTTAATTTTATTTAAACTCTTTTGAAAACAGGGGAACAAATACTGCCAACTTCCTCGTACTTGTTGTTGTTTTTAATGGCATGGTGTAGTTGTGAGGCAGCATTGCTTTTTAATTTCTTTGGCAGGCATCTTATTAGAGGCATTTTATTAAGACTGAGTTCAAAGCAGTAAAGAATAAAGAGGATTGAAATCAGAGGAGAAAGAAGTCTTACCCGCTCTGTAAAGTGAACTCAGGCAGCGCCCCGAGTGATGTCAGCTGTTCCTCCAGAGCCACGATCCGCAAACCGATGTAGCCTGAGGACAGCAGCAGCAGCACAACCCTGCAGCATGTGACAATTCACATTTACTTCACTTTTTATTAACAGTGACAAAAGTTAATATGCTCAATTTATAGCAGGTGTGTGGAGAACTAACAATAGCTGATGAACACCTATTTTGATGGTTCGTTTAGGGCCGGCTAACACTGCATGTTAAACCTTCTCAATAAACGGAGCTGCCAATAAACATTATACATTACTGCCCTTCATCTAGAGGCTTTATTGGAAGTAGACAAAATGTCTTTGTCTTCATTTTACTGGGTGGAAATACAATGGAAATGTCTTCAATTGGTAACCTTCATTTTTTATTATGGAATGAGACCGAACTAGATCACCTTCTTCTTAACTACCAGGACTGGTTTCTGAAATTCCTAAAACCCTGTGAGAGGCAGATTTAGATTAGGACATAAAAAGATAACTCACTGGATTAAAGCAAGAAGAAGGGGGGGGGGGCAGATGAGAGAGAGAAAAAGAACCAAGGTCAAAGAGGTGCGACTCACAAAATCAAGTAAACGAAGAGCAGAGTGTTGAGCGTGCTGGCCTCTCTCTGAACCAGCAGAGACTTGGCCTTTTCTGTCATATTCCAAACCCATGATCCACCTGAACCTGGAAAAAGAAATGTAAACATAGCATAAATATCAAGAATGCAAGAAGCACATTTTTTCAGTGAATGCTTTGATATTAAAATGGTTTGTTTGTCTGCTATACCATCCACTTCACTGAGTCTGTAGGTTTTAAAGGATATAGCTGAAAACTAATGTTAACTGGCAAGCCTTTGTACTGCCTGTGTGTGTGTGTGTGTGTGTGTGTGTGTGTGTGTGTGTGTGTGTGTGTGTGTGTGTGTGGGGGGGGGGGGGGGGGGGGTGTGTTGTCGTTACCTGACACTGACAGCTCCTCTGAAGACGAACTATCACTCTGCTGTGTGTGCACGCTCCTGAATGCAGAGTCATTTTCATTAGGCACGGCCTCTGTAGAAGAAGACACAACGAAACACATGTCAAGACTTTAGCTGATCTCTGTGTGGCTGCTGTCAGTTGAGCTTTATTGCTATTTTCAACTCACAGAAAATAATTCCCTACGTCATGAGCAATTCATTCATTTCAGGTACATTTATTACTTGGTGCTCAACCTGTACATGTACTATTAAGAATAGAGATTTGGTATGGACCTCTCACCTTTGTCTGGTTTATGCTGAGGCTGCTCAGGTAAAGACTGAGACACAGAACCATCGAACTGGTCGAAGCTATCATCCAGACTTGACAGACTGGAGTTCTGTACAGACAAGAAGGAAAAACACACAACGTCAAAGATGATTTTTTTAAGACAAGACACCGAAAAAAAAATCTGGTCACAATCTGGTTATTCCCTTAATTTGGATATTATATGGATTCAAATATATATTTGTTGTATAAAAATTTACCACAGTAACATCTATAAATATTTTTGAGGCCTCTTACCACAAGTTTGCTTTTATCAAAGCTGGTCTCAGCTGAGGAGAAGATGGGGCTACTATTTGTGCTACCGTCCTGTAACAGAGACAATTATTTAGATCATGTGTGTCAACCATTACATTGTACAAGAATGTTACAGAAGATGTCATTATTAGTTCAGATAAATGCATTTGATACGTTCTCTGTAAACTGTGCACAGTTAAGAAATATAAACAGGGTTACACCATAGATTTCTGCCCCCTCCATTGGCATTTTCTGAATTAGATTTTGTAATGAGAATGGTCAGTCTAAGCTAGGAATCTGAAATAATGTACCTTATGCTTATTACATAATTATCTGACTGTAAACTGTAGATTTTAATGTGAAGTTTTACCACATTTTCAGAACTGTTTAAATATATTAGGATCCTGTGTGCAACATTTGAACAGAGACACTCACCTCTATCTGAGGACAGACTGATCGCAGCAGCTGATAACACGATTCTCTGTTCCGCAGCGACACGAACAAGTACTGAACAATGAGAGAAAAAATTTGAATATTAGCTGTCAGCTCTGCTGGCAAGCTTGCATCATAAAATCCACTTTGAGATAACATCTAGAGCAAAGTTTAATTTGAGTTTGAATCAAGACAATCAAATGTCATTTACAGGCTGTGTGACACTGAAGGATAGAAAAACCTACCTTATCTCCCTCTGTGGTGCGGAGCGACAAGGCGTTGGGCACGAGTAAAGCCGTGTTCTGCTTCTTCACTATGTGAATGCAGGAAACTGGAATCACTACCTGCAAGAGACGAGTACAGAGAAAATATCGAGATTACAAACCAATCAAATGAAACTTCAGGTTAAAAGGAATGAAGGACGAAGCCTGAGGATCTTTACCTTTGTGTCCTTGAGTAAGACTGAAGAGTAGAAACAGGCATGAGTGTCTGTGATGTACAGTCGACCATGGTAGGGCACTTCCTTTTGCAGGGCACAGATGTATGCTGGGAAAAGAACGGAGCACCAACAATTAGTTTCATACAGATCATTCATTGGATCCGTTCTCTAAGGTATAGATCTCTCTTTCACTTTTCTTTACCTACCATGTATCAAGTCTTCACTCTCAGGAATGTGAGGAAACAACTTGTGGAATGTCTTGTTGTGCTTTATGAAACTCTGAAAAAGGAAATTTAAGAATATTTAATTTCAGAAAATCAGGACATTGAAAATAATGAGCAGGTCTTTCTTGGCTCAGGAGCAACTTTCCATAAATTCACTGCTGTACTTTGAGGCCACCCACACCCATTCACCAAACAACATAAACATCATGGTGCACTTTAAGCACCACCCAGGTCTGTAATCTAGCTCTTTCAACATCTAAGCGAAAAGTTGAGGTGAACTTACACTTTGTGTTCCTGTGCCTTCCGTCTTCCCTGAGCCTCTGTTGTCGACATCGAACGTCTGCGATCTGCAGAGAAACAGCTGCCAGTTTACAAGCAGTCTTTGGTTTCAACAGAGGTGTGTGAATGTGAGATGATACCGACACGACTGCACATTTCAGTGCAGTACATGAGGTTCATTTTCATCACTTTCATGTGGTTAAACTATCACACCCTCTGATTGGCCAAGAAAACCAATAGTGTGAACCAACAAGCTAAAAAAAGGGAATTTTTTTTTTAAATTTAAAATGAAGGTCAAAAGGAAATGGAAATGGTACACACAATAAATCAGTCCGTTTTTTGTGGATGGATAAAGCTATCTAAGTTTTGACATTAGAAGTCACAATACATTTTTTCTGACTGAGAAAAGAAGCAAAGTGATCTCTGCAGTTCATTTCAAAGTTTGATGGTTTTTTTCCATACTCCAGGACAATGAACTTGTGTGTACGTCTCAATGTTTCTGACTGAACTGAATTAATATCAGACAATAAAATAATTTCGTGTAAAATGAAAAAGTTCCATGTTTATTTAGTAATCAGTTTTTCTCAGACATTCTTGGCAGTTGTCTCGCTGCACCAGAGTCAAAACCTACGACAGTGAAGTAGGAGTGTTGACAACACCTATTTTTAAAATATTCTTTACAAAAAACAAATCGCTGGGTAATCACACTGACACGTAACAAGCAGGAGAGGATGAAGACAACTCTTCACCCGAGCTAATATCACAAATCTGTACCACACACTGAATCATTGAATCATGTGAGAAAACCGGCGGCCTACACCGGCTGTGCAGTCATGTGTGTGTGTGTGTGTGACGACTGAACAGCAGCTGAGAGCCGAGTCAGGTCTTGTGATGCATGTTCAGAATAGCTGAGAGTCTCTGCTATACGTCAATTGTGAGATTTTTTTTGCATTTGAAAGTGATCTAAGTGGATTTCAACCCCACGTCCGTCAAACATTCCCATTGGTCCTACCTGGCTAATTGTCTGGTGAGGGTTTTGTGTTGTTGCTGGATCTCCATCTGGGCTGCCTCCAGGCTCAAGGCTTTCCTCGTCTCCACCTTCTTGATGCTGCCATTGCTCGAGCTACTCCTGCTTTTCTTCACTTTGTCTGGCAGTCCACCACCGCTGCTCTCTACTGGATAGCTACTGAACATGGAGAAAGAAAAGAGAAAAAACAACAGATAAAGCAACATGCAAAATATCTTTCGTTTTGTACAATCATTTTTCATTTGTTTATGCAAATGCTTTACTAAAAGGACCGCAACAAGGCACAATAACACAAAGCTCCATCACTATGTGAATATTTGAAATACATAAAGTCCCAAACAGAGCAACTGAAGACACAGTGAAACTCTTAACCACTTTAGAAACCTAACTTCAAGACATAGTGCAACCTAACTTCTAGTACATAATCCACAGACGCTTCACAGCAAGCAAACAACTTGACCACCGTTTGAGAGCAAACCTGAACAGGAGATGGGTATGAAATCAACAACAACAACCATCACACAAATGCCACTAAACTTAAATTCATATTTTCAAATTCAGTCTCTGCACAGATGCCAGCAACAATCGCTGCTTCTATTTTAATGTTCAACAGACTTCATATCAACAGTGTTCAGCATTTGGTTACTCAACAATTCCTGTTAAGAGATCTTACTTTTGAACTAAATGACTAAATCTCTACAAATAGGAAAAGTCTTAGTGGTGACGGATTCAGGACACAGCAACGTTATGATGTTTTGGGCATCATGAATTCATTGATACATGTTGCATCACTGCTATGTCTGTGATAACAACTCCAGGATGCTTTTACAAGCTGATTAACACAGGCTCATTCTCAAAAACCGACCAAACGGGGTTTATCACAGCCGATGTGCACTGCGGCCTGTCCTTGACCAAGAAAAATATACAAAACAACCACAGATTACTTAAGAGAACACAGAGTCGGCTGAATTCTACTGACACACACCTAAACCTGTAAATTAAGTATATTAACGACAACACAGGACACACAGGCTGACACGGTTTGAGCGAAGCCACAATTTTATAATAACAATGTAAAACTGCTTAACACGAACAATAACAAAGACCATCTTACCTGGTAAATTTAAATCGCTTAGATGAACGAAAACTCATATACCTACTGACAGTAGGCATTTCCTTTCCTTAAGGGGTAAAAAAACCAAAAGCTCCTTTTATCCTAAAATACAAACACTGATTTCACGCCATAAAAAATAAACACTTAAAAAGATAACAGTCTAAATGTGTAGTTCAAGATGAGTTTAAGTGCTGTTTAAAGTAAGGATCCTTCTGCCAGAAAAAAACTGCTGTATAAATGCGCTGGAAGAGGAAGTCACTTTGTGTTGAGAATGGTGTGACACTCCGTAGTGAGTGACGTCAAACTCAACCACTCCCCCTGAGCCAAACAAGCATGAAAGGGCCCAACGTGCACACAGTCTCTTACATACACACAAACACAGAGTGCAACTCAAGCACAGACACGTTTTAGAAAACAAGGCTCAACCCATAAAATCTTCCACTGACACTGGAACATTATCCAAAATTAAAAATCCTATCTTGTTGAGATTTGTTATGGTCAGATCAAGCAAGATCAGAGACTTTTAAGCACAGTTTGTGTGTGTGTGTGTGTGTGTGTGTGTGTGTGTGTGTGTGTGTGTGTGTGTGTGTGTGTGTGCATAAGAGAGAAAGTAAAATACTTGTGAGGAGCTCAGACTCGCCCTTTGAGGCGTGGAACATTACGTCTCCCTTCAGGCAACGAATCCAACCAAGAACAACACAATCTTAAAAGTCTTCCCTCAACTCCAACTTCTTCCTGTTAAGTCAGACATCTGTGAAACTGATATTCAAATTAAAACTACAGGTCTTGGATCAAATATGACATTTTCTAAATGGATTCTCAATGAAGGAATATGTGCTATTCTTTTTTTAAGCCCAGTCAGTAACCCATATCTCATACCTGAACAATTTCCCAACCTTGTTACATGACTAATTGGGGTAAAGGTCGAGGAGAGGGAAGCAGAATCATGAAATGGTGCTTCAGCCAAATATTTAACCTGTAATTAGACTGAAGGAACAATTGAATGAGTGACACTTCACCTCCTGTCAGGACAAAAAAGTAGCTTTGTGTAGTGGGATCTATACTTTTAAGTGTCATCAAAACTCAAGTCCATTTTCAAAAGTTCAGCTATTACTTTGTAAATAAACCACAATACAGTAATTTTAATAAATCTCAAGAGACTCTTACTAGTCTTTGAAATATATTTCTAAAACATAAAGGCTTCTAATGGATAAGCTGCTGTGGTTGGTTAAACTAAGGCAAAACACAAAGAGCAATTTCACAATCATAGCTCAACTGTTTTTTTCCTGCTCACCCGACACATTTCCAGAGGGCAAGGGGGTGAAAGCAGCAGGGCTATATAAGCACCATTCGAAGGCTGAGAACTGTTTGAATTTCCCCAACAACTTCCTGTCTTTACTCAGGACCAACGGTAACCATTAACGAGATCATGCTGAAGCTGCTTCCTGTAACACTGACGGCTGCTAACGCTCTTCGGCTGGTCCAATAAGACGCGCTCTTTATTTACAAGGGTCAATAAAAACCTCAGTCCAAGGGTTGTAATTTTCCCACATCATTGCTCTGGTGACAGATCAAGGACAATTACAGTACCCACATTAACGTCATGTCTCAGTTTATTCTGGTGGGAATAATCTGGTAGTAGCTGAACAGATTCTCTTGTGTATAATGTTTATTGCAGAGGTTATGCAAACTGTTGTTAACCGTGCGACAGAAAACCTTCCCGACAATATTCAATTATCTAAACAGTGTTTAGTGTGGAAACTGCAGTTCGTGCTAAAATTATCAAGCCTGTCTTAACTCAAAGAGTCCAGCTAATAGCCATTAAAGTGTTTAAGGCCAAAGCCATTAGACAAGTGCATGACAGTTAACAAATGTTTGCAGCATTGCATAAAACATTTTTTACGTCATAACCCATGCACTCCATAAAAGTGTTTAACGTCTGCTTTAGAGTAATAAAAGTGGGAGGCGGCCAACCTGAAATAGGTGTTTAATGTCAGAGTCCTTGACCCCCGACCTACATCTTGATTGCACTACTATGACGTATGACAAGACAAAAATCAAATGTTAAGGCTAATTTTACCACCACGCCTAAAGTTTACTCCAAGCATAGGCATATCAAATTCTATCCTGCGACAGATTGTGATGGATGTGCACAAGTTTATATTTATCTGGTCTCGCTCCAAAGTACATTTTGTCTCAGGGGACTGAAACTCAAGCACAAAAAAAGCTAACTCGCATAATGATATGTTTTGTGAAACAGATTACTGATACACATAGTTTAATCAATTTCTTTATCTGCATTTATTCAGTGTAAGCTTGGGTAGACGAGAAGAAAATACCTCGATAACAGAGACTCGATGGTTAATCGCTCAGGTCTGACTGTTACTATGCTAGTGTGATAATCTTGGATTTATAGAAGATAACTATTATGAAGAACAGACATTAAGAGTGGAGGGCGAACATGTTTTACAAACTTCTTTCCCAAAGGTTGGAAGGGAAAAGAAGACATGTAGCCATTGATCAAATTAAGTAAAGAGCAAACACAGTTGTTATAGTTAGCATCAGTCAAGTTAGCGTTGTCTTATCTGAAACAGTTCAGATCAGAAGATGTGTGCATTTGCTCGACCTACCTTCCCAAATCCTCTGGGTGATTACAGTCGACCACAAAAGCTTGTTGGTTCAACAAGCTTTTTACTCTCTCCATGACAAAACAAAAATTTCCCTTCAAGTCTTCCTCAATCTCTGAGAGCTTCCAGCCACCACTGGTTGAGCCCGCTCCAGTTCTGCACTTAGACCTTGGTCATTCACAGGGTGTAAAGGTCTGTTTTACTGCAACGTTTTAAAGCGCCAGATATACAAAGCAAGGAAATGAGAAAGAGTTGAGTGAAAAGCTTTGTCCTTTCTGTGGCAGTCTGACAGTGTTTTGTCGAGGAGACAGGAAACAATGGAAAGCAGTTGGTGGAAATGTGGGGGATAAAAGAAACACTGCCAGGTCATTCTCAGTGTAAAAAGGGTTAACAACAGTATTCAATAGCCGGTTGTCAACAACAACATGGAGATGGCTTTAAAAGCAGTGTAATGTGTATGACAACAGTTCAATCTTTGTAGCAGATGAAAACAGAGCCATTACACATAAGGAAACATGTTTGATTAAAGGGAGAAACAAAGGGTCGCTATTTCTTCATCTAGGACATAACCAACCAGGAAACTCAATCACACGGTTCAAGTCCAACTGCACTTGTGACATCAGTCCTAATTTAGCCACCATACATTATGTCCTTACCTCTCCTGTCTTACCACCACCTGGCACGTTTTCAATGTACACCTCTTGGCATGCAGCCCCAGGATGAGCACTGCCTCTCGGCTCTGTTATAAATAGGTTCTGCCATTATCAAAACAGCAAAGATTTGATCCTTGCTACAGCCATGTGGTGTCTCAGAGGTCTTTAGCCTCAAAATGGAATTTCTGACCATTAAAGTGACACATTTGTCCTGGGTACTGAAAATATAAGGCATCAGTGTTGGACTGCAGGCTGACAACAGGTTTATCACTTTCCCTTTTATCTACAGATAAGATTTGCACAACACTTATGAGGAGGTTCAAGAGCACTTCTCGCAATCTCTTTGAGTATATTAATGCTTTCGATACTCTTCCCATCATTACTTTGAACTTAAGAGTATGACAAACTCAAAATGTGTTGCTGACAGTTGAATGTGTTCATAAAAGATATTTCAATCAACTAGAAATTAGCTTAGAATAAGGTGGGGGCTGATTTCTCCAGCTAAGGACATTCGAGCTCACAAAAGTACTCCCCGGGGTGAAGAGTTATGATGCTTTCATTTGCTGCCGCAAAAGGAGACAGATGATCACAGGAAGACCGTTGCAGACGTCAGCCATTCGTCTGCTAGCCTGCAGCATTAGTGTGTGTATATATAAGTAGTCTTGTGTCAAACTTTTCCCACAGGAAACACAGCTGCTGTGACAAGACGATGCATCAAGTTTTACATTCCATGAAATCTCTAAAATAAGCGGAAAGCTAGCAGAGCCAGATGGCGTGAGAGCACCCTCTTCTGGTGAAAACTGTGTACGCTAAATGGGATCAACAGATTGTTGCAGTTGTGCTTTATTGAGAGGAAAATTTAAAAGTTTAAATGTAATAACTCAAGTGTACCACTGACTTCAACACCAAGAGCCCTAATGTCTTACAATGAAGTTTTAAGACAATGTGCCACAATGATAACCAATTTCAACTTTATGGACATTTGGCGTTATTTAGTTTGCATTACTTTTCATTTCATTTTGATTATTACTTTTTGTAAAGAGTTATCAAATGGATATTAATGGTTGCAGCTTTAACTGCTTAATAGTCTATGTGCTTCATCATTCACATTAAACATCAACAGTTTCATATAATCACCACCCCCCCCATGTTCAGATCTACACTGATCTCATGCAGGGCCTGTCTGGAATCCAACCAATGGAAATCTGTTTTGGTGACGGAGAACTCCAGATCCAGATGAGCTTCCAATAGAGCAGTCAGAACGAGCCAGGAGAAGAGCCAGTGGTCATGGCAAAAAAATCATGTAGTCCGTGGTACCCTGCCATGACTTAGTCTGCAGGACAACTGTGTGTGTGTGTGTGTGTGTGTGTGTGTGTGTGTGTGTGTGTGTGTGTCCAAGTGCCAAGTGGAACAGAGTGTGCCTTGTTGCATGTGTAACTGAAGAACTGTGTGTGAGTGGGAAGTCATGTGGCCCTGTGCATGCAACATCACCCTCCACTTCCTCTGTGCTAACTGGGCATGCACACAGAGAGGGTCTTTCTTTTAGCCAACTCTCTCTCTCTCTCTCTCTCTCTCTCCCTCTCTATCTCTCCCTCTCTCTCTCTCTCTCTCTCCCTCTCTCTCTCTCCCTCTCTCTCTCTCCCTCTCCCTCTCCTCTCTAAGAAACCTAGCATGTGATGGCATGGCATGATGGTGGCTGGAACATCCCACCTGATTTCAAAATTGTTAAAAAGTGAAAGCTGGCTTCTCTAAATAAAAGGTTCCCTGATTTAATCAACAGTGACATTTTTGTTAATCTCAGCTCCTCAGAACAGCAGGCTATCTACATAAAGTGCTACATACAAAATAATTGCATCTACCAAAGCCACTTTATTTAGATTAATTTCAAATTCACTGAAACCTGGTGCGAGCCGGTTTAATAAAATGATCAAATTCAGAAATATAGAACAAACTCTATGGTTCATTTGTGTATCATATAGGGTTAAGTGTGTGAGGTTATTTCACAGATGATTATCATTATTTGTGATTGAGATATTACAGGTCTGGAAAAACAAGGGTCTGTCGTTTCTCTCATAAAACCTACAACATTTCTTACGTAAAAAGAAATGCATCACATGCATTATATGGATGGCAGAAATAAAGTGTGTGTAATGCTGTTGTAAAGAGTGAACTGTATTTTTATTTTTACAGCTTCCCATGATCACTTTGCCTTGGCACAGTGATGTCAGGGCAGTATTCTTTCCTAAGGACTAGGCTTAATTCAAATCCAGATTACTAATACAAGGGCTGACGTGCCAAATCAATAGTAAGTGAAGCAACATTCTGTCAGCAAGGCGTCACCAAATATTATCATGCTGTTCAAAGCTGAGCAGACACCGACAAGCTTTAACTCACACTTTTAGATGAGCACCCTTTACACCTCATGTGTCTGAGTGGAATTCACCAGACTGCTGTGAATACCAAAAGGTGAAGAAAGCTAGGTAGAATTAAGTTTTGACTTGGCTTTGTGGCAAAAAGGCAGAAAGAGGTCATTAGCACTAGCCGACAGAGGCAGCAGATACGTTCATCCGTGACCAGCTGGTTTGTGTGCAACCTTTCATTTAGCAATAAACAGTACTGCAGATGTGGTTTTCCTCTAACTTGGGCTTTCCCTCTGCGCCTGCAGCACATCTCATAATTTAAACCTACATGGTTCACCCTGCCCACAGTGGCAAACAAGCGCTGTCCTAGGAGCATCTTCCTGGAGCCAACAGGATGCTTGCATAGCTGCCCCACCCAGCCTATTCCAGGCTCCTCCATCTCAGCAAACTCTAACTAAACCAGGCTTTCCCTACTTAAACAAAGCAATTCTTCTTTAACTGTGTGTCTTGCAAAACTGCAAGCAGAACAGTTTATAATGAGCTAGGAGATGGGTGAACAGTGGAAAGTGTACTCACCCACTATTTCATTTATTTGTCTTTTTCATCTTCAAAATGGAGATTTATGTATTTTAAAACTTGAGGCTGTGGAACAAATTCAGCAAGATGTCGCATTTATATGGTTAGACACTTGGCTCACTGAACCCTGACACAGCCACAACACTACTGTGTGTGCATGTTGTGGAAACAGATTATCAACACGCATACCATACACATCATAGCTATGCTGATAACCAGGAGGTTACGTCTCATTGGCAGGGCTCTTGTGGTCCAGACGAGGCCATCTATGGGGGGGAAGTGAAAGGCTGGGAGACAAGGATGAGGAATACCAACAGTGCGACACAGGAAGCATTTATATAACACAATGTAGCACCTGTGGTCTACTCAGTAGAGCTAAAAATAGCATTTTCTGAGAAAACATACACTTGATTGGCCCATGTATGAAAAGTATGTGCAGAAGAGTGTGTTTCCCTCAGGTTAGAGGGACCACTGTGTGTGCATGCTTAGAAGTGAGTGTGTGAGGATATGTAGTTGTGAGGAAATGTGTGTCTTCCAGGCTGGTCTGCTCTGGATCTCAACTGGAGAAGACCAACATGGAGTCAAAACGTATAGGCAAGATTAAAAACCAACCTGATGTGAGCCATCTTTCTCTTGGACCGCTCTTCCTCATGTAACGTTGTTTATTTGCACTGACCTATAATGGATTAGTCTGCCACTACACAAAAACAACATACCTAACCCTACACTATGTAGGGCGAGTATGAGTCATTCATTGTGCTCTTGGAAGTGATCTCAGTGGGGAAGCATACATGGGATTACAAATGAATCCTGCAGTCCTGTGTCAGATGATCCTAATATTAAGGGAAAGGGCATGATGATCCACATGCATTGTAATAATAAACACATTAGGGCCATGCTCCTGCTAACAAGTCATCACAATAGACTGGAAAACACTGGATCTGTCCACAAGGGATGTGCGCTGCTCAGATCCATCCATACTTATGCTAACCACCTAATGATTAGTTTACACTAAAAACCGTGTAGCCTCCCCACTAATCACTGAGCTACTGAACAATGTCAGCAGAGATTCTCCTTGTCCCGACACTCGTGTTAATTTAATCACAAAGACTGTTTTAATGTTCAATTTCGGCGTCGGTGCCATGCTAGCTAATGCTACAATTTAAATGCCAGCGTCTCCATTCAAGCTAGCCTCTTCAGCATTGTCCACACGCTGCCTGAAACTAAATGTCTAATCGTTCAAAATCATCGGCTCGTTTAAAAACAACATACTTCACGGTACAGTGTGGAACGCGACAATAAAAAAAAAACACACACACAAAAACGTGATAACGCATCTTATCGGTGGGGCTGGTGTCAGCAGAGGGATGCTAACCGCTAGCCTCCACCCTGCTGGTGAAGCCGGCGGACAGCGGCTCCGGCCGGGCCACTCTCACTCCGCTCACCTCTCTCTCATGAAGTGCTTGATTCGGACGATGGCCTTCTCGTCGATTTTGCGGATGAAGGTTTTCAATCTCTCCCTCTTGTTCTCGAGCATCCTTCCTTCAGCCAGCGGTGCTCGGCTCGTGTACAAACGACGCTCCACGCCTGACGCCGCTCGTCCCTTGTTTTGGCTTCTCCGTGTTTCTCCTCCTCCTCCTCCTCCTCCTCGACTCATCCGCGGCTCATTAGGGTAATGAGCCCAAATCGGACCAAGCGGGAGAGCCAATCAGCGCCGGCGAGCGCCGTGAAAAAACGGTCATGTCAGACCGCTCGGCCAATCAGCGCGGGGTAGTCGGCCCCGCTGCGACCGCCCACGACCAAATATGGTAGTTGGGCTCTCACCTTTCTCGAGACCAAAGCGGATGTGGCGCGTGTGATGTGGGGATTATAATCAATAATCTACGGGCTCAACAACTCAACATTTCACGTGTGAACAACACAAGGAATCAACCTTGTGACTGAGCACCAGCGTGTCATGGGCCCCATCACACCATATTTAATGCGATATACTGCTTTGCTTTGCACCCACACACAGAAACCTGCATTTTAATGAATGAGGGTTGAACTACTAGATAGATCAGTAGATAGATATATGGATAGATAGATAGATAGATAGATAGATAGAT